CAACAAAAATAAGAATGATAATAGTAATAATAATAGTAATGATAATAATAATTATTATTATTCTGTGACACTAAATTCCCCTGAATTATTATATACATGTACACAGGATCATTTCGATGCATTGTAACGTTCACATTTAAGATTGTTTGTCAAAATCGTTGTGAATAGAATGTATTTAGTTGGGACTGAGTATAATGTTTGACATGCAAATCTACCTACCATCACGTTTGTTTTTCGACTACAAGAAGTGTGATATTAGCGTTAAAAATGAAATGCTAAACATGGTGTGACATTAGATTTACATTAGATTTTTAATGAAGTGATAATTGTATAGTCAGATGTTAGCCATTGTCTAATAACCATAATACTGTATTAGCGTTTTAAATAATACTGTATAAGCGTTTTAAATCAAGCAAAACACCATTGAAATCATAGCATTCAAGAAGCCAATAAGCATTTACCCACAATTTTATGACAAATACACATTTTTTTATGATAGAATAACCATAGCGTTATATAAGATTTGTTCTAAATAAATTGATTATCATTTATGTGTTTTTAGCTCGAGTCCAAGTGATCAACTGAATAACCATGTAATTCATGTGATTATTATAGTTCTACGGTGACATAGTATATTTCATTACTTTTCTTACTTACAAATGAATTGATATTATAAATGTTGGTTTATTTAAGCTTGATAGCAATAATAACAACAGCGTTTGATTAGCTATAATGATTATAAAATGATAACCAATTTTGTATTATTCTTTTTTTAATGAAGTGAAAATCCAATATAATGCTTGTTTGACCAAGAAGTCGGTTCATTTTGTTTCCAATCAATATGTTCTTTCCTCAGCGGTTTTGAAGTTCAAATAATGTTTGCATTGATTTTGTCATCAAGTTGCTGTAGGTTATATCATATTACAGACCAACTCATAAATTGTTTTCCTGCCATAGTTTCAAGAATTTTACTTAACGACATTGTAATTTATGTGTCTTTGTTGTTCTATATAACGTACTTTTCTCTAACGTTTGTACTTTTTGAAATTTAAAAAACAATTTTCTTTAAATATTTAACATTTTTACAATATAAATGGTATAAATATGCCAAGCTTTTTTATTTTTGCTGGTATGCCTGCAGGATGAATAGTTTTCTCTTCAAATAAATTTTGAAGTTAGCGTGGGCGATCTTCTTTATGCCGCTACATGTACCAGGTAACATACACATGCATTAACTTCTTTCTTGTGCTCCCATATATCCCAATTAAACTTTCAATTAAAGCGAATATTCTTGATGATATGCTTCATTATTTTTATGAATTAAAAACAAACAAAATATATATCAAAATACCACATATTACAAGAACTTAATATAATAACCAATTACAGGTATTTTCTTATTTTTAAATTTGCATGGGTGTTAATTTTTAAATTATAAAAGCTATAGTTGTTCATCTTGTCATTATACAACGTGCAACTTTAGCGAATAATGAATTATTCAGTCCCTTGGGTAAAGAACATGATTTATGAGAACATTTAATTGTTCGTTGTTTTTTGACATGGATTCAAAAGGGGTTTCCTTTTCATTTATTTAAATTTGAAACCTCGTTTTATATGATATTGGTGATGTCAATGAACAATAGATAACAGATTTTGAATATTTAATGTCATGAAAAAGATTTGGTTTAATTGAACACATAAAGTACAAAGATAGAAATACTTGAAATGTAGTTGCCAGAAATATGAACCGTAAAAGTTTAAAGATGTAGGCGATGTTTATAACCAACTTTATCTTAACATGAAGTAAGTACACTTTGGTAAGGACAATAAAAAGTGAATGCCCCCTTTTTTCCATTCAATTATTTGTTCAATACGACTATATGTTATAATGTAAGCGACACAGTCAATGGTCATCTCATACAAAATTGCCTCTGTAGAGGAACACCCTTTGGAAAAAATGTTTTCGTAGTTGCTCATAAATGGTGTACTATAGAGAGTAAAAATAAATGTGTAGTCTAAGTTTGGAAATATCTATTGGTGCTAATTGGGAAATTGCTCTATGATGCAAGTACTAATGTAATGAAAGGCAGGTAAGATTGTAATTTCATTTCCGTAAGTATCAAAAAGTGTATATTATAATATTTAATCACATACGGGTACATTTTCAATTTAATCTTATTAATAATAAATACGCAGACGCCGACCTCGGTGTAAGAAAACGGCTCTCCATAAGATTTATATTGTCATTCGATTAAAAGGTGAAGAATATTTCCTTTCCATAATTTTATCTTTATAAACGTCATTTTGCTGACTGTTATGAATGTAAGAAGCATTGTATAAAGTACATGTACAATTTGCTATACATCTACTTCAGCAATTGCATACTTTTTCTTTTATTGATCATAAAATAAGTATAATGAAGTAATTTTTATCATTCTTTACCATCGCAGGTTGATACACGATCTAATTGACCACACCCTAGTGACAAATAATGAAATGAAAGATAAGTTTATTACAAAAATAGATCTCGCGTGAAACATTTCGTTAACGGAGCATGCGTTTCTTTGTTTTTTGAGATCAAGTTTATTCCAAGGCATAATATTCATCGTGGTTAAAATAAGATCCCTAATGACATTTTAAAACAATATATCATCTTAAAAATGGCTCAGGTGTGTCGTCGTGCGGGAGGAATATTATATTGCAGATTATTATTTGTGTACAATTTCTGGATTTTTATTAATCTAACGTTCAGTCAACTTTGGATTAGTTCTCATACACGTAAAAACATGTTGAAAAGAAAAGTGAAATAAGCTCATTGACCAAAGGTAGGCAACATTATTTGTATAATGTTATTCATTCTATACCTTAAGCAGGATAACCCTTTCTGTGAAAATAGTGGTGGCTTGCTTTATTGTTTTCTCAACGGTTGGCGCGATGGTCTTAAGAAAAGAACAACTCCCGTGTCCAAAGAACTATACATTATCTTTGAGTGATTTTCCAGGAGCAAATGTATTTCAGTTTTTAAATGATGAGACAATAAATTTATATCACACCATCTTTCCGAAGTTTGCTGGCTTTTATTAACTTAAAGGCAAACAGGCAGGGTGAAAAAACTTTCAACTAGATAGTTTATTTCTATTTTGCGTCATCTTAGAATATGGTAAAAACTTTATTGGCGAAAAAATAAGACCAACGATTGAGTGTTTTAGGGGAAACTAATAATGTCATTATATTAGGTATAATTGTAATGAAATAAAAGCTCTTTTATTTCTGTTTTTATGTAACTGACTCTATTTAAAATAATTGTGCATAATTTCAAAAGTTGGTAAAGAACAGTTCATTAATTTTTTCTTCTAAACGCTAATGCAAATGTTTTGTAATGAAAATTGCCTGTTTTTTAAAAGAATTGTTAACCACTTTAAGTGTAAGAAGATATAAAACGATATGAAATGGCATGGGTTTCTGATTATGAACACGAATAGAATAATGATAAAAACATTGAACAAACTTTAAAGTATTAGTCAGATTTTAGACTTTCGTATAAGTAACCTGCATTTCAAATGCTAAAGAAATCAGGCAGATATCTAAATAATTGACTTAACATTTAACGCATACAAGGTTTCTTTAACAGTATCATGTAAAGTTTAAAGAAAAGTCAAAAGTTTTCATTTTGCCTTAACGTTTATATATAACGGGAAACTGTAGCAACCTTCATAAGACCCTTGACACTTTATCCTTCGTTACAATTCGGAATACAAATACGGTAGCACACCTTTATGAGAATAACGAATAGAATGGAGAACCGTTTTATAACATTTCTAAAAATGCTTCCGAAAAAAAGCATTTCTTTAAAGTAAGTATACATACAGATGAAAAGTAAGTTTTATTTTTAAACTGTTTTCCTTTAATGTTCTACGGTAGAGTCAAAACAAAGAAGTGCACATATTTTACACTGTAATTTTCACGTTTACTTTTGGCATAGTAGCTCCAGCCTTGTACATGTCGCTACAAAGTACTTTTGCCAATGCATTATTTGAAGTGACACCATGCCCATCCAAGGGTATATAATGGATATAATTTAACAGATGAAACTCAAAATGAGCTTACATTTTACCAAAATTTCTTTCCTTTTTAAAATTTATTTTGCATGAACGCGAAAAACGTAACTCACGTGGCTCAAGTAAAATTCTAAAAGTATCCATCGGAATTTACTGGTGATGTTCAGCTGACAAAAAGAGTGGCGCAGTCTTTTTATATTTTAAGTAGATTTGTATGTTATTTAAGAAATTTTCCAATATTACTTTATGTTGAATAACCATTTTAACAGTCAATCTATTGAAATGTATACTAGTCAATTCAGCTCAACTTGACAATAAAAAATTGAGCATAATGTCACTTTTATAAGATGAAATGAGCCGCGTCATGACAAAACCAACATAATGGGTTTGCAACCAGCATGGATCCGCGCAGTCTGATCAGGATCCATGCTTTTCGCTAAAAGTTTCTCTACTTGTTAAAGGGTTTGTAAACGAACAGCATGGATACTGATCAGACTGCGTGGAAGCGCAGGCTGGTCTGGATGCATGCTGGTCGCAAACGCATTATGTTGGTTTTGTCATTATGCGGCTCAAATTATCTTCGGCTGTGACCAGGTACATGTAACAGCACAGTAATAGATCGTTCACACAAAAGGTCAACGCGGCAGTATCATGATCATCCAAAGACTCTAGGTTGCATTTAAAGACCCCATTTACCATGGATTGGATAGTATAACAGCATTTCCAATGTCTATTTTAAAAGTATCATATAGATCTTTTAATGAAAAAGTACATCTTGAAAATAAAAAATTGTATTAATGCGCTTTAGTCACAATATTATAATACATTGTATTATTCATATATCAGCAGTTGTGCATAAACATAAATAATTAAATTTATATCATTTAAAGCAGACGAAAAAAGAAAAAAAAATGTATCAAAAATCTAATTATAATAAAAAACTTATCACACATGAGATTTATTTCCATTTCGTACAAGTTTATCAGAATTAATGTGAACAACATTGTCTCTGTTTTCATATTGTCCAGCAGTCAACACTACACCAGAATTGTTTTCACTATTGCTTCCACTAAAAAACTTGTTACATTTAAGTAATTTCCTAAAGGCGCTTCTAAAGTCCCTGTTAAAGTAAGCATATATAACTGGATTTAAGCACGAGTTGAGGTAACCAAGCCAAAACAGGGCAGAACCTAGCGTTTGGGGATATGGACAGGAATCCCCGCATAATGTTGTTACAAAGTACCAAGTAAAGAAAGGAAGAAAACAGAACACAAAAGCACCCATAATTATACCCAATGTTTTCGCCGCTTTATGTTCTCTCCGCATGCGCTTTCTTTCATTGCGTCGTTCACTTTGATCGTCATTCAAATTAGTATTTTCTGACGGTCTACCCTTTAAATGATAGCCTGTTTGCTTTATTTGTGTTTCCTGGCGCCTTGCTTCCATAAAGATCTTTAAATATACAAACACCATAATGGTACACGGTATCCAGAAAGAAATGCTAGAGGATATGACAGCGTAACCTTTATTTACAACGAATAAACATTGGTCAGGACTGTTTTCCATTTCCTCTAATGTGTCTGTAGTCGTATACCAATGAGATTGAATAGGAATATAGGAGATTAAGATAGATGAAATCCAAGTGATGGCAATCATAATAAAAACTCTAAAACGTGTCATCTTCGACTCATATTTGAAGGGATGGATTATTGCGATATATCTATCCATTGATATACAGCACAAATGAAGAATAGATGCTGTACTAAAAAGGACATCATTTGAATTGTACACGTCACACATTACTCTTCCGAAAATCCATTTCCCGGATATTTCTATACTTGCATTAAATGGCATTACGAGAATTGCCACTAGAAAATCCGCGCAAGCCAATGAGACGATAAAATAGTTAGTAATAGCTCTCAAGCGTTGGAATTTCATAACAGCGATTACAACAAGGATATTCCCGAATACCGCTCCCAGCATGACGATTATCATCACCGTCGTCTTCAGGATTACAAAGGCCACTTGTCTATTTTGCAGCGTCTCGTTGCTCTGGAAACTGCCATTTTCCGCGCTCTTATTAATATGATGTGATAGAGACTTTGCTTGATCCATGTACATATCTTTACATACACAGCGTTGGTATCAACAAAATTCTCAAAAAAACCCAGGTAATTTGAGCCACGTTTTGCAATTATTGGTTTCAACGTGTTACACCTATTGCTTTAAAATTTGAGCACGAATTTCAATTTATTTTAATAATAATCTATCTCGAAATTAAATACTGTTTTCCTCTTTTTTTGTTCAGCAGATAGGTTTTTGCACAATTGCCAGAAAAAACGATTTTTATTGTTGGTTTAGACACAAAGTAAGAAGTGAATATTGATTCCGCCGCCTTAATAAAATTTTCTTTCCATTTAATTAATACTAAGCGTTTCAATGTGTTATTTTATCCTTCCAATTATATATTTTTTTCTCTCCGAAATTGTTAATCAAAGTTCAAAGCTACTTTGTAAAAAACTGATTTCCAACACTTGAAGATGTCTATGTGATAACCCTAAAACATATTGAAGTAGCACTTCTCACATTTCAGAATGGCTAATTATTTTATCCTGGCAAGTGTTGTATGTTTCTCTTGATTTATATGTCATCTAGATGAAATTCCCTGCTTTATAAGACAATCGTACGATATGTGACAAACTCAATTAGTTTGGAACATTACCACTTTAGCCTTCGTTATATCCATAAGATAACAGTCTGTTTCAGCTAGTAGCAGATTTCCAGTACTTCCTGAAAGATAGAAAACATTAATTGCATACAGTAAAGGAAAAGTGAATTAATAATCAATTCACTGATATTATGTTTTAGTAAGCAAATATTATAAAATGGATGTTATACTGCGTGAGTGAAATACAACAATATGCTCATTTTATATCTATGCTCTTTACTGAATTATATAATGCTTACAAAATGAATTGCAGTGGTTGAAATGAGCAATCTGCAACAAATAATAATAATAATAATTATGATAAAAATAAAAATAATAATAATAATATTAATAACATTATATAAGTAATAAAAATAATAATAATGATGCTGATGATGCTGATGATAATAATAATAATAATGGTGATGATGATGATTATGATAATAATAATAATAATGGTGATGATTGTGATTATGATCATCATCATCGTCATAATTATGATGATCATGAAATAGAAAAACAAACTTCAAGGACATTTTGTTGGTAGCAGATAAATATTAAAAGTATATATCACAAAAAAAGAAAAACCTATTTATTTGTGATATATTTGTAAAACAGTCAGTTTCATAAAAATGAGTAATGCATTGTTGCGTTCTGTGATCGGCTCACGGAGCAAATTTACCGGAATGAGTCTCAATTGCTTAAAGAAGAAGAACTGAATGATGTTAGTTCGAATTAAGCAATTGACATTCCTTAAGATGTGTAGATTATGTGGAGCTTTAACCAAAGATCTGGGTCAATGTTTCTCTATAAAACAGAAAATAATGCCTCGAATTGCTAACTGACTGGAGTTGATAACTTAAATAATGCCAAATAAAGTGCATTTGTATTAAGGAATGGCTGCCATAACTCCACTGGGGTACAAATTCCTAAAAACATGAAATTGGTTTACTTTACATTGATCATCTAGGATACTTAAAGATATAAAGTGAAAGATATATTTAAGGTATTTTTTAAAAAATCAGCAACATGTATAAATAATAAAAAGTTACAACTTATTTGTTCAATTTTAAGGTCATTTTTTAAGATTAATTAAATTATTCTGTAAAATGAAGTGAGCGATTTATCTGGAAGTTTGCAGTTTGTAGTTTAAGGCTATATCAAGGGGAGCATTACTTTTGAAATAATATTTCCATTGCCGTCATGCAAAAGAAAATGTATTGGAGTCCGCTTTTCACGATTAAGTTAAGGCAATAAAAATAATTGTGCATTTATGCTTAAAAAAACTTTCTCTGAAAATGAGATATTGACATTTAATCACTAGAATAGTTGTTTTACAACTTCATTTTAACATAAAACTAAACTCGTATATGTACCAAGTTTAAACTTTATTGTGAATTTGGTTCCTAAATCAGTTCGTAATATTATTTTTGCATTTTTACTAGATATATTGCATTATCCGTTAGCTTAAATTCGAATGCATTTTGCTTAAAATTGAATGATATAAGGAACAGCTAGACGACACAATAATTTCCTTGTTTAGAAATCAGTTTAAAGCTCAAGAGACTAAATATGCTTGATCCTATATTTCTTCCTTTTCATGCGTGGCTATTCACTGTAAGGATAATAGGATAATGTTCCGAACGGACGGCCTCTCTTTTTAACTCTTAGGAAAGAAAAAAAACAGCTCATTGTAATCATGTGTTGATTATGCGCCATGATTTAACAAATGTGTCGATGCTTCAGGTTATTAACAACACTATATCTATTATTGTATATAATCTTGAATGTGCTGATTGAGAGTCACACTCAAAAAGTTAAACAAAAAACAAACAATCTTAGTGGCTCAGTGTACTGAAATGGCTTAGTGTTCTTGAAATTTTTAGACGGTGTTGAAAATGCGCAATAGTTTCACAAAATGTGTCAATGCTTCAGATGGCAAAATAAACAATTTTTTTATATGTGCTGACTTGTTGTCACATTTTCTACACAAAGATGGCTAACTTTATAAGAAAAATAAAATTCTGAAGATATTGATAAGATGTCACATGGTACAAAAAAGCAACGAAAATGCAAAAGATAAAACTGTTAATATTAGCAGCACTTGTAAAATCAAATCTCATACACAAAAATAAACCGTCAGAAATAATCAACAAAAACAAGAACATGATTGGATTTTTTTCTATATTTTCAAGTGTCTTATTGGCGCTACAATGAGAATGTTTTGTCGATAACATGAATGGATTTACTGAAATAAAGAGTTGTTTAACTGAAAACATCTGTTCTTGTTCAATCTTTATAATCTTAAGGCTTTGCCTAAAATTTGTAAAGAATCAAACTTTGGAATTTACATTTTATATAATTGATTCAAAAAAAGTTTGGAAAAAATGCATATTTACAGCGTTCAGCTATTCAATATGTATTTACTTTTACGGTTTTTTTAAATAAGAAGTATAAATCATGTGTTTTCATTTAAGAAATATGCAATGGAATGAAATTGAATGTTATAAACTGTTGATTTAATTCGATATAATTATAACAAAAAATCTGGTAGCCATGTTAAAGTTATTTTTAACACGGTGACAACTTTTACATACATGCGTGTATGTAACAATCTATCACAATATCAGATATCTAACTCTAATATATTCTTTCATATAATTTGAATAAGCAGAGTATGTACATTACCACATGCCAAATTTGCTAAACAATGTAACCTATAAGTTAGATATAAACATAACATTCAGTATATCTAAATTTTATTGGAATCATATTACATGTATAATGAGATACATATTTAAATCACATTATATAGAAATCTAGGGATCAGAATAGTGTGCCTCATGTAAATTTGATTACATTTCGTGAAGAAATTGTTCTTTGGTTTATGGTTAGAAAACCATATATTGCTTATATAACACAATCAGTCACATGTTTTATTTTACGTATAAAATCTAAAATGTATGTAATAAATGAGCAGCGATCATTCATCCAATTACATTTTTTCCATAAATAATACAAGATCCTATCAATTTCTTTAGAAATATTATAAAAGCCTCTATCAACATAAAAAAATAAATTCCAGTGTCATTTGAAAGCGTGGCTATTAGAAATGACAAACTATTTCCTTATTCGAACGTTGCACCTCAAAGTTTAAAGAGTACATTTTTTTACGTTTTTGTAAGTTAATTTCATTTTTGTTCTATACTTTTAAGGTATTTACTCGTCAACAAGGAACACATGCTGATCTTATGATAAACCTGGGAAGACTTAGCTTTATTTTTGATCTTCGAAAGCAATTATTTTTTAATAAATGATGTTGTTGTTTTTTTAAAGGATATATTTTTTTTTATTACGTGCATTTAAGTAATGTTTCCATAACATTCCTTTTGATGCATTAATCTCTACCATTGTTTTCCAAAATCAACTCTTCTTGGAGCCACCATTTATGTTTTTAATATGCTGTTCTTAAGTCATTGTTTACCACATGAAACTAATCTCATAACTTTCATGTGGACATAAGGAACTATATGCATTTGTATTTGCAGACATGAAAGACTCTCTTCCATTATCTTAACATGAATCGCGTATGTACTCCTATAGTATTAAAGGACCTCCTGTTGGTATATGTATTATAAATAAATTACAATCAATAATTGTAATTGAAAGCGTAATGAAGTATTGAGGGAGATAAGTTTAAGGGATTGACACCCTCCGTTGTTATACTTCAATATCTTTCAACGTAAATCCTTATTAAGTAATCCGTCATAATGAGAAAAAATAATGAGGTGTTTATGAACGTCTGCGGCAAGCAATACTTACAGGCAAGTCAAGCAGTTGTAACATCTGCTCCCCTGTAAACGTGCTTGTTATAACGCCTGGGGAAATTCTACATTTGCCTGAAAATATTTTTTTTAATTTATTTTACCGAGTAAATTAATTTGTCAATTCAGATTACCGTATAGCAAGATGTTGGCAATTACGAGGTTACCAAGACCCAGTTAGATAGCGTCACTGTGTCTGTTTGACGCTATATGTATATGTACATGTGCATGCTTATGTATTATAAATGGTTTGGCATTTTAATATGGGTGAAGTTAATATAATTTTGATTATAATATATGCTTTCTTCCAACAAAGCATTTTTCTTATAAAAAAATTAATATAAAAGTTTAAAAGACATATGTTGATATTTGATTTTTTTTGTTTGTTTTTCATTTCATTTTCATGTGATTCTTTCTCCATAGTTATTATCTTTTCAGTCCTCTTTTGCACCAGTGTTTTCACTTTTATTTTCTAATTGGAGTACTCAAGATTAAGTTACAAATATTCATGATGCATTATGACCAGTTATGTTGAAAGATGTTTATGGATGCCGTGTAAACCAAACATAAAATATATTATATTCATAAGTTCTTTATATATCCAAAAGGCCAAACAATTTTCATCAAGAAATAAAGATGTTGTCTATATTTTATTTTTAACATTCACCTTGGCAATATCTTTAGAGAAATTGAAAGCATCACATAAAAATCCTTTCAAAGAAATTAAAATATTAATGGTCAAAATTTGCAATAAAGGTTTCATCTGTTCGTGTTATTTTAAGACAAAATAGTTTACAATCAAAACATAAATTTACTGTGTCTAGCTAGCAGACATGTCTAACTTACGTACAAATTACATAGTTTCTACTTTACAGGTCTCACAGGCTATAGATTATATATTAAGATACTTTAGTTTTAACATATGCGTTTCCTTTGAATTAAGACGATATCTGATTGATTCAAAGTGTTTTAACAGTTTTAAATCTTGCCATTTATCTTTTTCTGTTTTTCTATTTTATTAACTATTACAGCGTCACAAATCGAATAAACTTAGATAGTAAGATCTATATCTAATAAATAGATTATAAGTGTATTTGTAAATCAATAGCAGGTACATTTGAATGTTCAATGACTTCGAGAATGTTGATTACTTTATTGCTATTTAATTGAGAGACACAATTCGTAGTTGTTATGATCCTTACGCTAAATTTATCATACTATATCAAATTACTGTAGACGGTGACGATTTTCTC